AAACAATCTATTAAAAAAAATAATGGCATATTCTTCCTGAATTTCCTCTTAGCAGGTCATGCGTTTGACCTGCACATTTATCTGTAACTTGCAGCTTTTACCCTCAACTGCAAGGAAACCAGCCATCTCCCTTCAAGTCTTTTTTTCCCCCTATATAAGGAACCAGATGCAGCACCCACATCACTGGCTGGAAAAGTCAAGGCCTCAAAAGAAAAGTAATTCAGAGAAGTGTCCTTCCAGGGAGTGAGGCAGTGAGAGAGGTGGTGTTTGGGAAACAACAGGCCTGAGAAATAACTCTCCACTGAGAGGAGACTCCTTCAGAAAAAGTTCAAATGGATTCACTCTGTGGAAAATATCTTTTCAGACTATAACAAGATTATAGCAGATTATAACTTTTTTTTTTTCCAAATTGGCTCTTAATAAATCCTCTTAAATTAAGAATCCTCATTTGGCCTACAAAAAGCTATAGCCCTAAAATCATAAATGGAAGTGCCTTCTATTCTAAGCTTTGCTGCTGCCAGACACTCCTCGAGTATGTTCACTTCCACACAGAGCTGAAGAAACTGCCTCATGGTCCTCCAGGCTGAGGGACTCAATATGACCAGCTGCTTCTCCAAGCCCGTGTGACACTACAGCTGGAGAAACATCTTACCTCTGGGAGGACTAGCCACAGCACAGAGTTTGAGTATGGATCCCAGAGGTTTCAAAATATTTTGCATCCTTTTCAATGCAGAAAGATGCAGCATTTTCATTTCCCCACAGAACAGGAAAATGTCCATTCTGTGTGGCAGCATTCCTTAGGACATAAGGCACAGACTGGGTGACAGAGGAACCAGGCATGGGAGAAGAGAGACATTTATGAAATGTATGGTCTAGTAATGTACTTTCAAAAACAACCAAAAAATTAAACAATCTCTAAAACAGAAGGATCTCCCCATGCTTAGCAGTCCACTTACAAGTCCAGCTGCTGAACATCTGACAGGCAGATGAACTACTCATTTCAACAAGGGAGGAATGGCTTTCCTCATCTTATGGAAAAAATCTAAGTTAAAATGGGGTTAGAAGTATTTTTGTCTTCTCTCTCCAGCACTGTCTAAATTACCTTTTAAAATACTAAAGAGTATGAAATACACATTAAGTAATTTTTCTTAAAGAAGTTCCTAACAAACTTCAGGCTACTGGTGATTCAACAGACCTAGTAAAGAAAAGGACTTTAAATATAAGTAATTGCTATCAGAGTAATTTTAAACGCCAGAGATTTCCCTTCCTCCCCAAGAACAGCATGTCACAAAGAAATGTCAGCTCAGAAGCTAGGTTCTCCTGCACATCTGCAACAGCTGAAACTCACCTGGGTTCAATTTCCAAAAGCAGAAAACATCTCAAAGCCTGTCCTCAAAACAGCACACTAAGCAAGAACTGGCCTGAATTAAACATAATCTCCACAATACACTGCTATCTTAATTCTAGAGTGTTCATGTTTGGTAGCTAAAACAAAGGAAAATATACTTCAATTCTATTCCAAAATTTAAAGTGTCAACAAAATCCTATTTTTGATGGTTTTTTTTCACACAAACATGGTGTTCTCTAATGAGATAAACTGATACATGTATATTGCAAACTTGTCTCATCATGAATTCCCGGCTTTCCAGTCAAACATGCAGACAGCATGTCATGTTCTAAGGTGTCCCACTGGTGTATTTCAGCAGTTCCTCAGCAACCTGCGTGTGAAGCAATAGGCAGGATCACAGCTCTCTTCTGAGCCCCAGGCAGCCCTGGTGACAAAGAAGACAAGCTACCTGTGTGCCCAAGGCTGCCCCGTGCCAGGGGCTGTGCTGGCTGCAGGCAGCTATGCTAACCCTGACAGGGAGCCTGTCCCAGCACCCCTTCCCTGGCTATTCTGGAATCCAGTTCTGAACTCCACACTTAAATAGTAGGAGACTGCAAAGAACGTGCACTGCATAAAATACCTCAAGAACCAAAGGAAGAATTGATCCATTGGTCCACACAGTGTACCCTCTTCACACACAAGGCTGTGGCTCTGGCCCAGGTGTTCCTGTGTTCTCCACATGGCAGGGGACAGGCCACGCTCCACCTCTTCACTTGAAACAGGTCCTCCCAATCCCTAACCATCACAGAAACCTCCCTTTCACTTGTGGCTTCATCTTTTTTGAACATGAGTGACTGTATTTTGGGTGATTTTTCTCCACTATTTCAACCTAATGACATCAGGATTTCTCTATCGTTTAATGGTCCCACCTGCCTAATAGAAGTTGGTGGCAGTTGAGTAACCAAAGTTATTCTGATGCTGCCGTGTGTTTTTTACAAATTTTACCTAACTGGGGGAAAGGCAGATATCAAACACTCCTGGCTTTGACTAAAACAGAACAATTCTGTTTCATGGGCTAACTTGATCCTTTGTATCTTCCTTGGGCTTACAGGTGGCAGCAGCTGAAGATCAACCTAACTTTTACATCCATAGATTGTTGCTGTTGAGGATAAAAAACATTAGATTTCAGATGAGCCATTTTAGTTTTTCCAGACATTGTCAAGTTTAATGGGGAAAACAGATTAGCAACAAAAAAAAAATTAAAAAGCATTTCTTCTTGTCTGCAGCAAGCACAAAAATGCCCCAAGCACTACATGCCATGACATGTCAACCATATATAGCATCTTCCAGTGGGAAAGGTTTCCTGCCATGCAGAGGACAAAGCTCATCTTCTTTAACACATTTCCTTATGACCCCTTTAACAAGTCAGCTCCAGCTCTACAAACCCCAACATCTACCAAGCAGAGAGAAAGGAATCAAGAGGGAATAAACAAGGGTAAGTGTCAGCCAGATTACTCACCAACTCTTCTTCTCTATTTTTTTGCCACAGTTCTTATTTCTTGATTTAGAATTTCTTGCTGTTTACATATTAAATTTAAAAAAAAATACCCTCTCTTCTATAGATACTGTTTCACTCTTTTTTAGTCAGATGACATAGTCTGTCCTTCTAAGATGTCTACTTTGAAAAAAAACCCTAGTAGATCTCTTGAAAAATAACAGATGAGTCTCTGGATTCATACCAAAGATATTCAGACTAACTGCTGGCTAACACAGGCAACGGAGGTTGTCAAGATTAATATTTCAGCTTCTCTGTGGTGAAGTTTATAATTTTATGTAGTGTTAATCCAATTTCAAATACAGGAATGTAGTATTTAGATCAGGAATCTCAAGCTGTCCAACTTTATTTTGAAAAGATAATTAAATAATCCTTGTAAGTAAAATGAAGCAAAGCAGTTTTAAACATTTTTCATACAATTTTAGTTTCTATTATATTAAATTTCTTAGAGAAAAAAAAGTCTTAGCTTATTTTAAGTTTTTAAGAGGATAAGTTTGTTTTAGTTCTAAAATATCTCTACAATCAACACCATTATTGTAAAGAATTTTTTCTCTAAATTCCACTCCACATTAGTATAATTTAAGCTCTTCAGCCTCAGTACATAAAACCCTCTTTTACTCTATATTTGTTGTTGTTAATAGGTCTGTTCTACCTGCTTGCTATTTCTCAAGCTTTGTCCAGTCTACTTTTAAAATCATGCTCAATGTGCTTCTAAAGCTTGCCTACAAAGTTACACAACTGTTTTCACCTTCTTGGGTTAAAAAGGAATTTTAAGTGTACAATGTATAAAATCCCAACACTTTGAACAGTATCTGCCATTCTCCAAGTAGTAGGAAGGGTAATACACAGTCAGATATTTTTGCTTCAATACTTACTTATTGCAAATTAATTGGGAAAAAAATAATAACCATGGGATGTGCTAAAAGCATAAAGTAAGATGATTTCAAGACTGAAAATTCCCCCAAATGGAGCTTGCATTTCAAACTGCAAGCTGATCCCAGAGCTAGCTGTGTATTTCCAAAGGCAGAGAAGTAGTACAAAATACAGGAAGGGAAAAGCTTCAGAGGTTTTAAGCTGTCAAACAGAAGGGACTGAGATGGAAGTCTAGTGGGAGCCACTCTACAGAAGTGGGAATGATAGAGCTTTGCTAATTACCTGCTAGCCCAAAGCATGGTTATTTAATCCCTACAAGACGAGCAGTACCAGACATTCCAGAAAATTTCCTAGTCACCCAATATTAAACTGTATGTTCTTAGGGATGCATGAAGCCACAAGGGAGCAAAAAAGAACTTTTTGCCACATAAAAATATGTATTTCTTGGTTAGAATCCCCATGCTCTCAGAAAGAAGATTTTTAGACATTTAGAATTATTCAATCTCTTAAGCTCAATTCTGGGAACTGATTGCAACACACAATGTGAACACTAGACGTATGAAGATACAAAAATGGAATAAAAATATTTCCCTA